GCCCATCCTAGCCCAAAATTATCAAATTACCAAAATACCCCGATAGCCCTAATTTTTGCCAAAATTCCCAAAATTGTCCAAAACACCCAAATTTGTCCAAAAGTCATCTCAAATCATTCCCAACTACCTAAGTTGGCCAAAATTTCAAAATCCCCAAAATACCCACAAATTTGCCAAAATTACCAAAATGGCCCTCATGACCTAAAATTTTTTAAAAATTCCAAAAATTCCCAAAAATTCCAAAATCATCCCAAATATTCTCAATTTTAATTTTGAACCATCACATTGACCCATTTTGACCCAAAGCCCCAAATTGCCTTTAAAGGCCCAATTTCCCCAATTCACCCCCAATGTTCACCAATGTGATCCCATTGTTACCCAATTTAAAATATAAACTCAAATTCATCATGATGAAAATCATTAATACCAATTGAAACCAAATACAATCCCAATTTCATCCAATTACAAGCTCAGTTTCACCGAAACCCAAGTCTAACCCAAAATCCCCAAATTGACCCTATGTCTAAATTTCACCAAATTGGCCTTCCAATTCAATTCAAAATCACTTAAAATCTTTTCAAAACTCTTCATAACATCTCACCTATACCAAATTAAATATTTTATTGACCCAAAATTTAGCCCAAATTCACTTCTAATTTTAAAAGCCCAAGCCCACCACATCTAATTCCAAAAGCCCAAATTCAAAGCCCACATGACAATTTTTCTCTTCATCAATCATTTCATTAAAATCATTCCCAATGTTTTAGATTCATGATGAAATCATTCCATATTAGGTATCATTACAAACTTCATCAAAACATCCCATAAAATCCAAAAATCCTTTCTCATGCAAGTTGGTCAAGCCATGAAGCCATTCCTAAGCCATAGATGAGCCATATGAGCCTTTGCCGCCTCACCAAGATATTAATGGCAAGAGCACAAACGACTTTCAAGCTCCCTTAAGATTATCTTTAACCACTCCCATGATACACTCTAACCCATGTTTAGCCCAATCTCTTGGATGGTGACTCCTCCTCACTAATTAAGTTGAGCCAAATAATCTCCCCTTCAGCCCAAACCTTCCTTGCTAGGGAACCCAACCCCAAATCATGCTTTGAACCAAAATGACCCTTCCCCCATTCCTTTTTAATCCAAAACCTTAACACATGACCAACCCCAATTGACTTCACCGAAACAAAGCCTTGAGCCCCCTGACCAAATGGTGAACTGACCTTAGCCGGCCAGCCACCTTGACTGCTAGAAAATACCATGGCCAAGAGAGCCCATATGGTTAAAACCAAAAATTGAACACATCCAAGTGGCACCAACCCAAATGAACATTGGATTCTTTCTGCCCTCCACCTATACAAAATCCCAACCACCTCAGATTGGCCTGAGGGCCACCTTGGCCTCTTCTATTTAAACTCACCCTTCACGACCAAGGGGGGAGAGCTTGAAATTCCTTGGGGATACTCTGCCAAATTGTTCCCATAGCTTCTTAAAGATCCATTGAGTTCAATCCAACCATCCCCAAGCCTTCAACCATCCTCAAGCCTTCAAACCCACTGCATGAGCTCAATTTTGGAGCTCAAAATCAAGCCCAAAACAGGACATCCCTCTAGATTCCACCAAAGTCAAATTAATTGCACTCACACCATTCCCTTAGTGAGAGAAGAAGATCCCCTATAAAAGCCCCATATCTAGTCCACCCTAAGGTAGACTTTGATCAACACCCCAAATCAGCCTTGGTCGAAATCGTACCTAAGAATTTCACGATAGCCCAAGGCTTCATCTAGGATTTCTCTAGACTTAACCCAAGCTTTTAGAAGCACCCAATCAAGGCCACACCTCTTGGGCAAAGGTATTGAACTGTTGAACTCTCCTCTTAAACCAAGATTATTTTAATTCTCCATGTTTATAGACTTGATTTAAGGATTTCTTAACCTTATGAATATGTTCTTCTGGTCAAGACGAGTCGATAGGAACAAAACTCACTTAATTTGGTTGAGTGTCGAGAGAAATATTAAGTTTTGAAGTTGGACGGTTTTCAGGCTAAGATTTGAGGATGATGAGCAGATGTTGTCCATTTTTGCATGTATTGGATAAACATATGAGATCACACCAGACGGAGAATCGGAATGAAAAGGCTGGTTGAGTCAGCGCTGAGGTGTCTAGCGTCGCCGAACCAGAAGACGCCGCATGGAAAGTTCGGAGACGTCGAGGATTGCGTGGTGCCACATGGTTTAAATTAAAAAAATAAGGATTTTCTTTATTTATTTAATGACCAGAACTTTAAAAATTCATATCTTGGTGTAGAAAATTCATAAAAATAAAATAAAAATTTCAAAATTGAAAAATAAAAATACCCTCTTAGTTAGAAAAAAAATTGGAAATGATTTCTTTTTTTTTGATGCATGTAAGATTTTTATTTAATTAAATAGTTTTTTTCTTATTTGAATTCTTCATTTGCATGGTGTTTACCTCACTTTTGGTTGAGGTCTAGAAACTTCTTTAGTAGCCTAGGTCTAGCCATAGGACTTTCCTATTGACTAGTCTTAGAAAATTAGAAAAGTGGTAAAAGAATTATAAAAATTAAAATATTGATTAGAAAAATATAAAACTTATTTGGTAGGTTCACTATGGTCAGAAGACCCTAGGAAAATTATAAACTTGATTTAACTCATTAAAAATAATCCTAATTATCACCAATCACTAAAAATGAAATAAAATTAAATTGGAGTAAATATAAATGTAAATGGAATAAAAATTATTCTCCAATGTGATTTAATATTATAGGAACTCTCTATAAAAAATTTAAGTCAATTAGAGTTAATTTGACCACTAAAATGAATTAATTAAGTGAAATGACAATTTTGACACTAAAATAATTATAATAATTAAAATACAACTAAAAAAAATCACCAAATTGGTTTTGGGAGCTCCTTATGACCAAAGGAAACTAAGAAAAATAAAGTAGAATTAAAATAAATACTTTATTTTTAAGCTATATTTAAGTATTTAAATAAAGAAAATTTAATTAAAAATCATAAAAATTGCAAAATCTTGAAAACACACTAAAATATCACATTTGGCTTCCTGATCACTTGGGACCAATTAAAATAATTTTCCTAATTTTCTAAGTCAAGATATTAATTTTTAAAAGCTTAAAATGAATTTTTTTTTAAATTTTCATTAAAATAATTCTAATAATTAAAATATAAACCACAAAAATATGAAATTTGTTTTTTCTGGTTCCTTGAACTTGGAGAGATTTAAGAAAAAGATAAAACTTAATTTTCCACTCAAATAATATTTTATATTTAATTAATACTCAACACAAACAAATAATTCTAATAATTAAATTAAACCTCTAAGAATCATGAAAATTGATCCAAGGGGTCCTCTGACTTAGGTGAACCTTCAACAATTTTCGTAATGACATAAGCTTTGTTTTGGTCGAGTTATTAAATTTTCAATAAAAATCTCTATTTTTTTATTAAATATAATTATAAAATTAAATAAATTTAAAAAAATCACATTTTCTCCTCTGATGTTTTAAGTAACCTATGAGCGGGGTAACATAAAATTTTCAAGTTATTTGAGTTTGATTTAATGGATTATGAGGTGTTAAGGCCTTACGGGCAAAAGGGTACTTTTAGAATTTAAGCCCTAATTAATATTTAGGCTAACCAAAGGGTAAGTGTTGACCTCATTTTTGGTTGAGGTTTAGTTCTTCTGCTTTAGTAGCCTAGGGTCTAGCCGTAGGATTTTTCCTGTTGACAATTCCTAGAAAACTAGACATG